GAACTACAGGTTACGGAAAGATACTCTCTAGAGCTCTGAGGTGGTTTAACACCGGATTCCTGTTAACCGACCCAAGCAGACATCAGTGAACCACTGCAAGGCCAGAAACACACTTTATACAAGAACAACAGCAGACACAAGTGCAGGGATTTACAAACCCTTTTATTACCCTAACATCTTAAACACTAAATATTTTAATATTCAAATACTTGTAGTCGCCATGAGATTAAGTTCTTTCAATAATTTAACATTCACATGAATGCGCATGGCTAATGGTCACACTGGTGTTTTAGGAACCCCCATCAAATGTAATATAATAATAATAATAGCAGTAATAATTATCAGTTCTATTGATCATTAATTATTAATATAAAATTATTATTATTGTTGATTACTAATCTAACTCTAATTATAAAAAAGAAAAAAAATATTACTGTTGTAAACTACAACTGTACTGTAAAATAAACTGAATATTTGATCATTATTTTACACAAGTTACAATACTAATGCGTCTTAAATTCAAACACTCAAGGTCACTCAAGCTTGATTAATAATATTTATAATAATTGTTGACTAAAAATGAATAAAGAAATATCTTACTGTTGTAAAATAAATGTATAATGTAAAATAATATTTGATCATTTTGTATTTTACACAACAAGTTACAATATTAATATTGATGTCTTAAATTCTTCACTTTCAAATGTTCAAACTCTCAAGCTTTTAACACTTCAATGCTTAATTATCATAACGGTTGATAATTATTTTGGTCCAATTATAAAAAAAATTAAACGGTTGTAAATTACAATTGTTCTGTAAAAACAAATATTACAATAATAATATTTATGTCTTAAAGTTATTATTAATGGGTACTCAAGCTTTTAAAAATTATAAAATATTAAAAAATTTTTAAATATTCAAGCTTTTGACATTTCAAAGCCTCAAGCTTTTATTTTGGCAGGCAGAATACTTCCACAAAAATGTTTGAAATTATGAAAATGTCTAAAAGCATAAGTGGCAAATGTTGCATTACCAAATGCACGTTAAACTCGCAGGACATGCAGAGATGAAGCTGCATTATTTGAGCAGCCCTATTTATTTATTTTAATTTTACATTCGATTAAATTGGACATACTTAACATGCACTTGTGTCACTGTGGTGGTAATATACCTTACTACTCATATAGGGGCCGATAAAGTTTTGTTGTGTTCCATTATGAAATCACAACAAATCAATCTTGCACTGCTATTTTGCATGCATGCACTTGTGTGTAGAGTGTGTTTCAGGCCTGTACATGCTGTAACTCACTCACCAACATGAGTTTTGTTAAACATCCGCCACATTCCGAGCACAAGACACACACAGTGATTAGAAAGTGAACAGAAAGACGTGTTTAATCAGGCTCTGAAGACCCAAAAACAGCTGACAAAGCAACCTGGCACTGTGCACAAAGCCGTCCCATCCATCCCAGCACCCAGCCGCTGTACTCACAGGTTCTACTGGCTCAGACGAGACCTGCCCGGAGGCCTCGGCCATCTCACTGACCGGTGCAGTCTGCTTTAAAGCAAACACACCCGCCGCCGTTTAATGGAGAACAACATGACTGTTTCTTACACACGTTTACTGGAGATCTCCTCGCTCACATCTGAACACAATGTACATCAAATCTCAAACAGAGAAAAGCGTGACCGCTGTGATCCTTACCATCGGTCCATCATGTGCACAGGGAGATGAAGTCATCGGAGGAAACATTTCTGAAAAACAGACATTTGGATATCTGTGAATGCAGATATAATGTAGATCTTAAACTGTGCAATTCAAACCATATCTGATACAGTCCACATTTATTAAAAAAACTAAGAAATAATATAATTAAATGATGAAAATTCACATTTAAATATTTATTTTCTTTACAATATTAGATTTAGGATTCAGTGAACTCTTTACATGGAGTATTTAAATGTTACCGTAATAAACAATGACTGTAAAAACCGTACGCTACTATTTCAAAGTTTGGGGATTTTTTTTTTAAAGAAATTAATACTTTTATTCAGCAAGTAAGCATTAAATTGATCAAAAGTGACCGTAAAGAGTTTTACGTTACAAACAATTTCTATTTCAAATGAATGCTGTTTTTTTGAACTTTCTATTCATCAAAGTTAAATTTTTCTATTTAGCTTTATTTCAGTATAATATAAATATTTTCAAGATTTATCAAATATTTATTTTATTTCAGCTATATTTTTATAAATAATAAATGCCATTCTTTTGAACTTCCTATTCATCAAAGAATCATGAAAAATAAAATGTATCACACTTTCCACAAAAATATTTAGTAGCACAGCTGTTTTCAACATTGATAATAATCAGAAATGTTTCTCGAGCAGCAAATCAGCATATTAGAATGTTTTCTGAAGATCATGTGACACTGAAGACTGGAAAATTCAGCTTTGATCACAGAAATAAATTACATTTTAAAATGTATTACAATAGAAAACGGTTATTTTAAATAATAATAATAATATTTAATCTTAAATTCAAACACTCAAGGTCACTCAAGCTTGATTAATAATATTTATAATAATTGTTGACTAAAAATGAATAAAGAAATATCTTACTGTTGTAAAATAAATGTATAATGTAAAATAATATTTGATCATTTTGTATTTTACACAACAAGTTACAATATTAATATTGATGTCTTAAATTCTTCACTTTCAAATGTTCAAACTCTCAAGCTTTTAACACTTCAATGCTTAATTATCATAACGGTTGATAATTATTTTGGTCCAATTATAAAAAAAATTAAACGGTTGTAAATTACAATTGTTCTGTAAAAACAAATATTACAATAATAATATTTATGTCTTAAAGTTATTATTAATGGGTACTCAAGCTTTTATAATTTATAAAATATTTAAATTTTTTAAAATATTCAAGCTTTTGACATTTCAAAGCCTCAAGCTTTTATTTTGGCAGAATACTTCAGTCCACAAAAATGTTTGAAATTATGAAAATGTCTAAAAGCATAAGTGGCAAATGTTGCATTACCAAATGCACGTTAAACTCGCAGGACATGCAGAGATGAAGCTGCATTATTTGAGCAGCCCTATTTATTTATTTTAATTTTACATTCGATTAAATTGGACATACTTAACATGCACTTGTGTCACTGTGGTGGTAATATACCTTACTACTCATATAGGGGCCGATAAAGTTTTGTTGTGTTCCATTATGAAATCACAACAAATCAATCTTGCACTGCTATTTTGCATGCATGCACTTGTGTGTAGAGTGTGTTTCAGGCCTGTACATGCTGTAACTCACTCACCAACATGAGTTTTGTTAAACATCCGCCACATTCCGAGCACAAGACACACACAGTGATTAGAAAGTGAACAGAAAGACGTGTTTAATCAGGCTCTGAAGACCCAAAAACAGCTGACAAAGCAACCTGGCACTGTGCACAAAGCCGTCCCATCCATCCCAGCACCCAGCCGCTGTACTCACAGGTTCTACTGGCTCAGACGAGACCTGCCCGGAGGCCTCGGCCATCTCACTGACCGGTGCAGTCTGCTTTAAAGCAAACACACCCGCCGCCGTTTAATGGAGAACAACATGACTGTTTCTTACACACGTTTACTGGAGATCTCCTCGCTCACATCTGAACACAATGTACATCAAATCTCAAACAGAGAAAAGCGTGACCGCTGTGATCCTTACCATCGGTCCATCATGTGCACAGGGAGATGAAGTCATCGGAGGAAACATTTCTGAAAAACAGACATTTGGATATCTGTGAATGCAGATATAATGTAGATCTTAAACTGTGCAATTCAAACCATATCTGATACAGTCCACATTTATTAAAAAAACTAAGAAATAATATAATTAAATGATGAAAATTCACATTTAAATATTTATTTTCTTTACAATATTAGATTTAGGATTCAGTGAACTCTTTACATGGAGTATTTAAATGTTACCGTAATAAACAATGACTGTAAAAACCGTACGCTACTATTTCAAAGTTTGGGGATTTTTTTTTTAAAGAAATTAATACTTTTATTCAGCAAGTAAGCATTAAATTGATCAAAAGTGACAGTAAAGAGTTTTACGTTACAAACAATTTCTATTTCAAATGAATGCTGTTTTTTTGAACTTTCTATTCATCAAAGTTAAATTTTTCTATTTAGCTTTATTTCAGTATAATATAAATATTTTCAAGATTTATCAAATATTTATTTTATTTCAGCTATATTTTTATAAATAATAAATGCCATTCTTTTGAACTTCCTATTCATCAAAGAATCATGAAAAATAAAATGTATCACACTTTCCACAAAAATATTTAGTAGCACAGCTGTTTTCAACATTGATAATAATCAGAAATGTTTCTCGAGCAGCAAATCAGCATATTAGAATGTTTTCTGAAGATCATGTGACACTGAAGACTGGAAAATTCAGCTTTGATCACAGAAATAAATTACATTTTAAAATGTATTACAATAGAAAACGGTTATTTTAAATAATAATAATAATATTTAAAAAATGTACTACATATTTTATAAACAAATGCAGCTGCTTTATAACGGCTCGTATCATAAGCACCTGGTCTGGAGGGCAGCGGGTGTCCGAGCTCTGAGAAGCGTCCGTGAGGGTCAGACGGGGGTCGTGGACCTGGAACAGATCACAAGTGATTAGGAGCCGTTATAAATCATTTTATACTGACATTAGATGCTGGAGTTCAGGAGCGAACGCATCAGGAGCGCTTTCAATGACAAAGACAGAAAGAAATGCTGTGAGGAGAGAAACTGAGGGGGAAATGACAGGCGATCTAAAAACGTAGAGCGACTCAAAAACAGGAAAGCTGGAAAAATGAAAGGAGGAGGATAAAGTTGATGTCAAGGGGAAGAGGACGACGCAGCGGCGACTCACCGAACGGTTCGCCCCTTCGCCCTACAGGTGCAGAGGGGGGGCGTCCGGGACCCTCGATCATTAGAGGAGGAGAGGGAGCCCCCCCACTCACAGGAGACGGCCCGTACGAGTCACCTGCTCAGACCAAACCGGCACAATCAGAAACAATACCGGACACATGACAGGAATCAACCCTGCGCTAAGCTCCGCCCCTCAGTTACTGCTGCTCAGTCAGACAAGCTTACAAAAGTAGTTTGTTATCAATAAGTATTTGTATTCTTACTTTACTATTCTTTATCTGGAGTTTTTTTTCGTCATCTTAGAAAAATGTAAAATGTCTACTTGAATGAAAGATAAAAATACTGCTTGCATCATCTCTGGAATTACATTATACCAAAGTTATCTTAACAATATTTATATACTATTATAGTAGTTATTTTTTAGTAGCTTTCATTTAATTTTTAGTAATTTCATTACATGCTTTTGTCATTTTTTTTATAGTTTTTCTATCTAGCTATTAAGTTATGTAATAATTACATTTTATTTCAGCTTTATTTAAATTATTTTAATAGCCTGTCAGACTAAATGTGGTTGTGTCATTGTCAGTTCTTTAAAAAAAAAATATTTCTAACTGCTATTAAGAACAATTTCAGTTTTATTTGAAATTTATTGAAATAGTTTTGGTTAACAACAACAACAACATTGCATTATATAAGAAAGAAAGTCATTAGTTTGTCTTTTTTTATATATATTTTTTCTATTGATCATTAATGATTTTTTTATTTCAGTTTCAGTTTATTTTAGTACTTATTTTAGTTAAAAATTGTCATTTAATATTTATATTTCATTTCAATTAATGACAATGATTTTTAGTTTCAGTTAACAATAACAGCATTGCATTATACAAGAAAAAAAAAAAAGACTGTCGGACTGAATATGTGTTTTTTTTTTTTAAATAAATTTCTATTTTGCATAAATTTTTATTTCTGTTTTATTCATTTTAGTCTTTATTTTATTTATTTTATTTAAGCTTTTGTCAGTTTTTGTTTGTTTTAAAAAATATTTTTTGTATTTTCTTTCATTTATTAAAAAAATGTTTTTTTTATTTAATCTAGTTTTTCATCTAATATTTATATTTGATTTCAATTAACAAATGATTTTTAATATTTTTGCTAACAACACTGCATTATGCAAAAGCCTGCCAGACTAACAGCAGCCGTTACGTGGGTCGTTTGTGTTGTAAAGTCCCTGTGAAGAGTGAATTAGAGGACAGAAACTGCTCACCTCTTCTCTGTGGCGGCATGTGGCGATCTGGAGGTCCAGAGTTGAGTTTGAACAGACTTTGCTCCAGGTCTGATATTTTATCTCCGTACTCCACAAGCCTTTACAAATGCACAAACATCAGAGATCAGAAACAACTCTGACAATAACAGCAATGATATGGAGAATACTACTCACTTCTGACGAAGGGTGGCCGACTCTCTCCTTTCCTCCACCAGAGTTCGTTCAGAGGTGCGGGCTTTCAACTATAGAAAATAAAGTATGATTAAAACATTGGTAAATATATCAGTATTAGCCAATAACATTAGTATTAATAATAATAAATTATTGGTATTAACATTAGCCAAGTTTAAGTTTCAGTAATTGTTATCTGCTTTTTTTATTGTCGTTTAATTGTAATGATTTGAAATAATAATTGTAAGTTATCAGTATCAGTCAGTGCATCTCTAATGCAAAAGACAAAAAGCTTCTAGTTTTCATTACAAAGACGAAGCGTGGTAATCACTCACCCAGTTCTCATGGGCTTTCTTCTCCTGGATTGCCACCTGTTAGAAAGTGCAGGCAGGGAGTTGAGATCGAGACTGATGTGCCGGATTGAGAATACAGTGATTCTGTGCAGTAAATGTTTCTCACCTCAGACTTCAGAGAGCGTTCGTTCTGCTGCATCTCGTCCTCGATGTCCTTGATCTTCTGTTTGAGGGCTCTCACCTCCTCCTCTGAGCGCAGAGCTTTACTGTCCACCTCCGACAGCTTCGACTCCTTCTCGCGTCTCTCCAGCTCCTCCTGAGTCAGTTTCCTACACACAACAGGTCAGTTTATATTAGCAATTCAGCATCATGAAATACAGGCTGCATTTGAGCTTTGAAATGCAATTTTATGAAACCCGCGTCATCCTAAACAGCCAGATCAGTCATCTATTTCTTCTGTTTTCTAGTTTGTTTCCTAATGTAGTTGTCTAATAAACCTGGCATTGTATATTACAAATATTGTTGGCTCTTTAACAAATTGCTTTTTGTAAGTCACTTTGGATGAAAGTGTGTGTTCAATGCATAAATGTTAATTAATTGAATGTAAGTCGCTTGTATCATAACATGCACTTCATGAGTTTAGCATGATTTCTAGTTTCCATCTGCACTTCCACAGCTGATTCTCTCTCAAGTTTTTTTTTATTTTTTTTAGGAAATTTATATTTTGAGATATTCATCATATTTTAGTACACTGTAACTAAAAATATGGAAATAAAAAAAATATATATATTGCAACGCTCCCTGAACTAACGGATCTGATATGAGCACTCAATTTTCTATTTTACAGTGAACTATTACAATATTAACATATTTTGTTTTTTTAATTGCATTTTAAATCAAAAACATTTAAAAAGAATCTTACATTTCCAAATTGTACAGTCCCAATTTTATGTATCTTTTTTATTGCATTTTAAAAGAAAATAATAATAATAAAAAATAAAAAAAAGCATTTCCATAGTAATGCAGCCCTAACTGAATATATCGATAATAGATCACAATAATTGGCTTTTTATGGTTGGTCCTTTTGCAGAAAGAAAAACTTAAATGTTATTTCAATTGAAACAACACAATTATTCTACTAGTAACTAAAACATGGAAATAAAAAAAATATATTGCAACTAACGGATCTGATCCATGCACTTCTAAAGGGTTTGATCATGCTAAGATGTGATGTAGTGCTGCAAAGTGTGAGCTCTCACTGCTGCAGTGCGTTCTCTTTCTGCTGGTAGAGTTCAGTGGTGATTTCCAGCCTCTGCTGCAGGTTCTTGAAGTGGTTCTCCAGATGCGTTTTCTCGTTGTTCAGATTCATCTGGTCATGCATGACCTTCTGATATTGCTCTACATGAAAACAAAAAACAGTGCATTTAGATGCAGATGTGGAAAGCCAATCGGAAGATGTTCAAATGAACAATCACAGTCTTCATACCCTCCAGCTCCTGTCTGGCTTTCTGTTCAGCGAGGAGACTTTCCATGTAGCGATTCCTCTCGTCTTCAACAACACCGAGAGTCGCTTTAATCTGCGAAACAGAAACTGCATTAGAAATAAGAAGAGTGCTGAATTCTTCTCAAAATTAAATTAAGACGCATGTACCCTGGAGACGTCCATCATCTGTTTGATTCGCAGTCTCATGCTGTCCATCTTCTTCTCTGTTGTTCAGAACAGAGGAGAACGTTTAATTTAACCATCTTCAAGCAGCCTATTGCTTGTATAAAATGGTAGCAAAATGATAAAAGACACATATAAAAGTCCTAAATGTAGGGCTGCACAATTAATCACAATAAAACCAAAATTCCTTGTGCGTGAAAACATACTTGGGTAATAAAGCTCTTTCTGACTTCTGAAAATCACAAGCGATTTATTAGATTTAACGCCAAAATAAAGCCTCAACGGTTTAACATTTGAAACTGAAGAAATTAAGACAACCATTAGTGCTGTAATTTTACAATTCTACCATTAAATAAAATAATTACATTATTTTTTGCAAATACTCAGTTTTACTGTAATATTACAACAGTAATGTTATTTTAATATTTTTGTTTTAAATGGTTTGATTTGTTAATAAACATATCTTATTTTAATACTGTTAATAATATAATAAAGTTACAGTAAAATATCTCAAATGCTTTTAAATATTATTAAAATATTCAATATTAAATATATTATTAAATAAATTAAAATATTACTACTACTACCTTATTTTATTAAATGTTTTTATTTAGAATTATGCTTAATATATTTATAATAATAGTAGTGCTGTCAAACGATTAATCGCGATTAATCGCATCCAAAATAAGTGTTTGTTTATATTATATATGTGCGTGTACTGTGTATATTTATTATGTATATATAAATACACACACAGTATATATTTTGAAAATATTTATGTTTATACATTTATACATTAATATTCTTATATTTTATATTATATATAAATATATTTAATATATAAACAACATATTTTTCTTAAATATATACATGCATATGTTTGTATTTATATAGACATAATAAATATACACAGTATACACACATATATTATCTAAACTTTTATTTTGGATGCGATTAATCGCGATTAATCGTTTGACAGCACTAAATAGTAATAATAATATTATTATTATTATATAATCATATTGATAAACTGCAAATTTGTGGCCAAATTGTGCATACAAACAGCTTTTTTACTGCAGCAGAAATGATCAGAAAAACTGCAATAATATTTTTTCCAAATCATGCAGCCCTAATTAAACGTATCAACAACAGATCACAATAACTGGCTTTTATGGTTGCCAAGCAACAAAACAATAGAAGCTAATTCTATAAACAATGGGCCTCTTGCAGCATGAAGAACAGAATTGTTATTCAAATTTTGAATTTAAAAAATTTTAAATCTATACTGAAATCTGGCAAATCCAAAATAATTCCATAGAAGAACGCTTTTTACTTTAGTTCCAAAGTTTATGTGCGCGCACTTGTAAGAACTAACTTATTAACTTGTTAGGAGTGGATGCTAATTAAATGCCACAGATCATGATTGCATTCTTGGTTACGTTGCTCAACTGATGCAAAAAAACAAAAATAGTTTAAATCAATAGAACAATCTGATAGTTAGAGTTCTGAAATGGAATGTTGTGATTGACACTTTAAACATAATCAGTATCTTGATTATTTCTTCTTTTCTCAGTAGATGACTTTCTGAATTTCTCATGTTTCATCTGTGGATCACGGCAGACTCGGAGAAATAAAGCGTTATGAGTCACTCTAGATGAGAGCATCTGCTGAATGCAAATGAACAGCTCCCCTGACAAAAGACAAAAAAGCGAAAACTAAATTTAAATAAAACAATTGGAGTTATAAATAGAGACTGACCAGCATCTTCTCCATTAGACATTTTAGCATCATCTTTCTGTAGTTCTGCAGGATCACCGGCTCCCAGACGGTTGAGCTCTGCAATACAGCTGGACAAAACCTAGACACCAGAGAACTCATGGGATACCATGCATTCACGTTGTGATATTTTGGAGAACACATTAGAATTTGTAATCAAATTTAAATAAAGCTCTGTCGGACCACCTGTTTTATAATACGCAACAAGTTTCACTCACATCAATCTCATTCTCCTTGTGCACCAGAGAGTCTTCCAGCTCTTTCTGGGATTTGTGGTAAACTCGGATCTCCTCGCTCAGTTTCTTGTGCTTCTCCTGCCAGTCTTTAGCATCACGGAGGAGCTGTCAGAACATAAATATCATTCGATTCAAGCTGACATTGATGCATGAATGAGATGCACAGCTCTGACAGCAGGACTCACAGATTTCTTCTGCTCTTTTAAAGCACCGTTTTCTTTCTCAAAGGACAGAACCTGAGCCTTAAGAGCATCTTCTCGGAGTTTGGCTTCATCCATGAGGACATGAACCTGTTATCAAATCAAGACAAACCCAAAGAGACGTAAAATATTTAATACCTTCATCTTTAGGACATGAGGGAACTAAATCAAATGTTCAGATACATCTTCAAATGACTACAAAACAGGGTTATGGTAAACTAAAACTTAAACCTGTAAAAATGTTACCTGAAATAAATGTTAACTAAAGTAAAAAAGTACTTTTTGGAATTTTATTCCAGCTTGCTGACAAGGCAAAATTTCTCATTGTTTAACTTGCTGTACTAAAATAACTTGATCTGAAAAAAGTAAATTAAAAATTAAAGCTGTGTGTGTGTGTGTGTGTATAATATATATATATATATATATTTTTTTTTTTAATGTTAGCAACCAAATTACTCAAAACTTTAACTAAAATTAAAAAGGAAAATACATTAAAACGATTCAAATAATGAATAAAAACTATAATAGTATCTTAATGACACTAAACTAACACTACAAATGCATTTAGGTCATTTTACAGAAAAACCCCTACAAATCCAAGGATATAATAATTTAATAAATTATCACAAATCATAAATTATCAATTTTGTTGATAATGTTCAATAATAAAAATGTATTCAAAAACTACTGAAAAAGAAAACGGTCTTAGCATTTTCATTATTTAGAAACAAAACAAAGTGCAATGAAAAATGTATCAAAAAATTATTTTTGTGGACTAATTCAAATGTTGATATATGATCGATTACTAAAAAAAAACATTGAGATCATTTTATAGACAAAACTCCTGCATATAAGGAAGGGATGAGCAATAAACAATCAATTATGATATTCTCAAACTGTAGTTGATTATTAATATATATATAAAATGGAAGAATTCAATTTCAAAATTCACTGGAACAAAAAATATTCAACTTAAAAATGTATATTTAAATTATACAGAAATTATAAACTGCAATAAACCTAATTTATCTTTTTTTTTTTATTGCACTCATTTAAAAGCAACTTATAGCTGCTGAAACATTTACCAGCTGGACATAAATACAAAAATGTCAATTCATTACAGAAGTATGCATACATTTTCAAAATGGACTTTTCCAAGTCTGTTTTAAAATACTCTGGTTTTGCTCTGGCAGTAGGAATCCTTATTTAATTATTCACTCAATGCAATTGCTTCTCTCTCTTCATGATTGTTAGTCTAAAAAACAAGCAGTTGTAGGATAACCTGTCAATGTTAGCAACAGTAGCCAAGTACCAATGCATGATGTTTGTTATGGAATGATTGTTCGAGTCACTTCATTTGTTTTGCATAACTGTGACAATAAATGGAAATCTATAATGGCTAACAAATTGATGTCAGATCAATGTATCCAGCACAAATTACCTTTGCACGCTCCTCATCATAGCTCTTCAGTGTTTTCTGGTATTTCTCGATTCTCTGGTGCATTTTGGCAATCTTCGTTTGAGAGAAAAACAAAAAGGTTATGAAAAATCTGCTTCACACTGGCAAAAATAAATAAATAAATCAAAGCTTACCTTCTCATTAAGGTTTGAATTTTCTTCCTGCGTGTCCACTATTTTCTGGTTGAGCTGTGAAACGCTCCCAGACATCTGCTCCCACTGGCTCTGGAGCTTCTGGTGACGGTTCTAGTCAGAAAAACAACAAACCACATTATACTAATGTGCACAGTGATGAAACGGAGATTGTGATGGATGAGGATTCACCTTCAGCCCTTTCACTTCTTGTTGGCTGGAACTCAGTGATTTCTCAGAGTTCTTCAGCAGTTCTTCGCGCTCTTTTATCTGCAAGGAGACAAATGATCAGCTTCATCAGCCTTTACTGAAAACAATAAGCCTGTCAAAGACGAGCGAATGAAATTTACCATGCCGTTTAATTCTGTGATCTTGTTAGCAGCATCAGATTTCTCGTTGAGAAGCTGCTGGATCTTGTCTCGAAGCTGCTTTTCAGTTACTGTGGAAAAAAAGATGTAGCAATATATATTTAAAAAGTAAAGAAAATATTCAAAGAGGCTTTAAGAACACTCCCAATTACTACAAAAGAATTAAGATAATTTTACAGAAAAATACCCTACATATTAAGGTGAAAATAACAATACATTATTACGAATTATTAAATTTAGCTATTAATAACTAGTATTACAATATTCAATGACGATTTAAATATTTTTAGAAGAGTGATTCAAAAACTAAAATATTTTTAAACTTAAAACTTAATATTTTAATTATTTGGAAAGTAAACTATAAACTACATTGAAACAAATTCATCAAAAAATAAAATAACTTTTTCATATTTATTTGAGCAAGTGCAATCTCGACTATTAAAAAAACTTCTAGCGGATAAAATTAGATATTATAACATACATTTAAAAAAATATTATATATTTTTCTTCTCCATTAGACAAATTAAAGAAAGAAATAATGTAAATTATATTTTGCAAATAACTTGCTTGTTTTCATATTATTTAATCATGCACTATTGCCTATTTTCACATAACCAGAACATTAAATATATTATAAATTAAAAGTTCTCCAACATGTGATTTTGATGGACACAAACCAAATGATCAGCTAATTTTAACTATCCCTTTAATCACAAAGTGATTCTTACAGCAAGAACGGTCCTCCAGAAGAACATCAGTACTGTGAGGGCCCCGGCAACCACCGTAGCAACCACCGGCTCCCAGGGGACTCCGTGGAAATTGGGACCCGGTCGCCATTCCTCCGGAAGAGCAGTGATCACCTAATCGAAGGAAAAACACACAAAATATCATCAGTTTTATGATAATTACTGAAACAACTACTAAACTTGACTACTTGGTTTCTATGGAAGCCTGTTTTTATCAAGGGATATAAAAATTAAAAAAAAGCTAATTGTGACTTTTTCATCTTACAATTGTGACTTTTATTCTCGCAATTGTGTTACATTTCACAATTGTGAGAAAACAAGTCAGAAGTGTGAGATCTAAACTTGGAATTGTGGGATATAAACTCAGAATTGAGACAAACTCAGAATTGTGAGATATAAACTTTAAAAAAAAAAGAGAAAAAAAAGCAGAAAAAAAAATAATGTCAAGATATAAACTCAGAATTAAGACTTTTTTTCCTTTGAGCTTACATTCGGCAATTCTGTCATTTCATTTCCACCAGAGAATAAAAATGTCGTTGCGATTTTCTTGTTTTTTCTCTTACAACTCCGACTTTCATTTTTGCAATTCTGAGTTATCACGCCATTCTGACTTTTTCCGCAATTCTTCGAATTCAGACTTTTTTCTTGCAAGTTCACATTTACATGAATTTCCTATTTATATCGAGTTTATATTTCAACTTTTTTTTTTTATGCAGAATTGTGAGTTTACCTCTCTTTGTTTGTTTCCAACATGGACTATTACATATACAATTTTTTTCATCTCACAATTTGCAAATGTATCTCTCATAATTCTGACTTTACATTCTACAAATCTGACTTTATAGCTCACATTTCTCACAGAATTGTGAGTTAAAAAGTCACAATTTCTTATGTACTGCTTTATCCTGTGGTGGAAACAAGCTTCCACAGGTTTCACCGCCTGACAGGTGAAACTTTCAGTTTAATTAGCAGGCCCGGATATCAAATCTGTGACTGTTTCGGATCAATTTATGCCCTTTTTAAGACTTACATTGACAAATCTGAAGCAACCAAGTCTATTTAAGCACTGACCCTTGTCACCAACCACATGCAGCAGAAACACAACACTAGGCGTTTACTGGACTTTCACCTCTGATGAAACCCAGTCACCTAAAGCCTACAATAAGCACTTACAACTCCGTTTAAAAGAGACAGTTTAGTTGCCTTGGGGTTTTATACGATCCTTAATGGACTTAACTCACTGGGATTGCTATGAGAGCTGGATGAGAAGGGCTCAAAATACAGCACTATGTCATTATTACACAACTACTGCATGGATATTATACTGATCTACTGTATGAATGATGGATTGCAAGCAGTTTAAGTCGTTATAAATCATACAGTTCAATCCTGAAGGCAGTGATCCGAGTCTAGAGAGTTACTAAACACTTACTTCCTGGAGTCTGGACAGGATGAAGACGAAAAAGGCTGTGTTTTCTATCTCAGCTGGTGGAGAGGTAAGACTTAGCTGTGAATCCATTCTCTTAAAGCGTTTGAACTTATTTACCAGAGTAAGTTAACCGAGCGCTCCTCAGAGAGGTTGAAGCCGATAAACACGGTATAAATGGCGGACCGCTGGTTCATATCGGGAAGCCGGTGTTTTCTGATATAAAACCGCTCGGACACGCTTTGCGAATATATATTTAAGCTGTATCTACAAGGACAGCAGATATATACAATTAGTATGTTTTGAAATCGCGGCTGGAGGAAGATCAGCGTTGATCTCTCTCAACACGTCAACATTTCAAACCGCTGAGCTAAGTCTCTCTCGCGCAGAGCAGTGCTTCCACTCTGATCATGTGACGCTAGCGGCGGCCTCTGATTGGTTACGCCTGGTGAGCGCAAGAGGAGATCCTATTTAGCTGTGATGCTAGCGGGTTTGAAAGATTATCAACTTGAATAAACGACGTTTCAGTGAATATGTCGTATATAAGGCAGCGATATTTAGTTGAAATGATTTGGAATTTAATCTACTTAAGGTTCCATACATATATTTGTCTCGAATGGAGTTTAATTAACAGGTTTAGCATGAAGCCCTATTGGATTTCATTCACGTATACCTCTAGCGACACCATTTTTGATTATTTTGAATTATTTGAAATTAGATAGATAGATAGTGAGTAAGTGGAGTAATAGGTCTCTGCTATATTAAATGCATGATATATATCTGAATTTTTAATTTAGAGGCAGCTTAAAATTAAGGAACAGCTAAAAAGGAATAGTTCGAGCCAAAACACCAGCAACAACACTAACAAACACAACCACAAATGACTCCAGAAACCATTCCAGAAACATTTCTCAAATTGCTAGTTTGCTTCTCAGAATCCCAGAACCATGTAAACTCTATTAATATCACACCAATTACTCGTGCAACCTGAGTTCAGTCTGCCAACGGTTAACAAGACTTATAATGAACACATTACCGCATGTTAAAGATCCCAAACATTCTCGTATGAAAGTTTCTTTAAACTCAGTTAAAATATCTCTGAAAAGGAGTTTAGTGATTTGGAATAAAGAAAGTTCTTTTTATCAGTTCTAAACTCACTTTTTTAACTGCACTGACTGTAGTTTACACACTAATGTCTGTTATAGCATCTCTTGCATTATTGCATTAATGGGTTTCTTATGGGCATTAATGTCTTAAAATATGGTCTTACTCACAATTTCTCCGTACACTCCAAGATATTCTTTGACGAGAAGCACAAAACCCCAAAGCTCATGTGAAGTTGATGAGCTGGAGGAATCACTGCTTGCTTCAGTGTCGTGGAAATCAGAGACACTTGGAGACTCCAGTGAGCCTAGTGATAGAAAACAACAGTTTTAGCTAAATATATGCAACAACAATTATTAAAATTGAAGGAAAACTCTGACACACCTGAAGATGGATCCACTTTAAAATGAAAGCCGATGTCTACTGGGTTCTCCAAAATAGCATGAGGCCCCTTTTGAATCTCCTCAGTGTCTTCAAACCCTATCTGGGCATCTTTATTTCTGTTGAAATGGCCCCCGTCCTCCTCCAGACCCACGTCTTTAGTGCGAGACAAATCTTCGTTCATATTTAATTCAGAATTCAGAATCACTTCAGATTCATTCTGCTCCTCGTGCGTTTCAGGACTCTTGGGTGGTTCGGTCATTTCGATGTCACTGTCCAAAGCCTTCACCGCTTCAGAGTCGACTTTTTCATCTGGAAAAAAAGTGCATAAACATATTTAATAAAACATTAACCCTGTATGGCCTGACATTTGAAATATTATTTTTGAAATGGAATAGTTTATTGAACCTTTACACAAAATATTAAAAAGAAATGTTTGCATTTTGTTGAGAATCATAGGCTTTTGTGGCTCATATAGTATGATATAGCGAGAATATGGAGGAAAAAAATCATCTAAATTTTATTCAGAGGCCCAACATGAGCAAAAATATGCAATTTGGTGCAGATGCTGATATTTATATGAACAAAAAGTGATGAGATTCTGATGCTTGTAATGAAAATCAGCTGATATCTTTATAACAGCAGATACTTACAGTGCGTAAAATGATAGAAATATCAGTTGTCACTCTTTATCTCCAATAATATGTCTTAGTACGATGAGATTTAAATTATCAAAACATATAATGCAATGCAATACAATGATGATTGAGAGACGAACAAATAAACGTTCCTCAAAAGCCTGTTGATTCCGTTTGGAAAAAAAAAAATCAAGTAAACTTAGGCTTTTCAGTCCAGTAAGTGTTCATCTTGAAATATAAGTTATTCTTATGTTTGCTTAAAGGGGTCATATGATGCGATTTCAATTTTTCCTTTCTCTAAAGATCTGACAGCAAAAGGACACGTGAAGCACGAGCTGAAATGCCTTTTTTACTTGCTACGAAATCGAAACTATCAATCTGGCACCAGATGTGGTAGATTGCGTGCAACAGGTTTAACAGCAAATATTTAATCATTTAGAGGCATTTGAAATATGATCCAGTAGATTTTATAGGGTTAAACCAAAGCAAACAGCATATGATTTTAGGTGAAACCTGAAATGAATCATAAAAACAACCACTAATTATGCTTTGGAAAGGTGAGCATTGCTTTTAGTACTGCTTAAATGACCTGTTTCAGATGCAAGCAGTTCTTCCTTGACCAACGGTGTGCTGTCACTGGCCGCTGAATATTTCTGTCGTAAAGTGAAAACGATCTCCTGTTTGATTCTGAATCGAATGACTCTGATTCAAGAATCGATGTTGATTCGGAATCTAATGACTCTGATTCAAGAGTCTCCACTGATTCTGTCGTCATCATTTCAGATGCATCTTCATTCTGAGCTGGTTCTTTTGATTCTTCTGTTGAATTCTCATTTTCTAGCAACAATGTGCTGCCTAATAACACATCTATGTCATAGCTTTCAAACTTATCGAGCCCAGTCTCAAAGCAAACAAAATCAGTTTCCTGAAATGGGAAAGAAAGATTCATGTTAACCAAATGTCACATCAAAAACGACCATACATCGGTCAATATTAACCACACCGACTTACCTCTGTAGGTACCTCCAATTCTTTATCAGTATATATATGATTTATATTAAGATAGTCCTTTGGGAAATAACCAAAGTGGTTCCCAACCTATGCAAATAGAGGAAGAGGGAAAAAATGATCAGTTTTTGCACTGCAGTATAACAGTGTTTACAGAAACCATAAAATCATAAAAACAGTAAAAGCAAAAATAAAACAGAACCAAAAGAATAAGAAAATAAAATACATATAATGAAAAAACAGAATAATACGCATAAAACAAGGCAGTCTGCACTTATATTTTACAACTTTGTACATATATTTTTTTCATATATTTCCTCTCTCATTCCAAAGAAAAGTATTAAAAACAATTAAAGAAAAAAAAAAGAGAGTTCAATAAACCGTAGCACAAAGCACACACAAACACTGGGTAAAATAGTTAATTTTAATTAGATGAACTGTTTATTGTATACTTCAACTTTAGCTGTTTAAATTAATTTGTTTCATTAAGCTTATGGTAACACATTGATTTGTTGAAGGTGGTGTGGATGTTAGTAGTTGCTTAAAGGAATAGTTCACCCAAAAATGAAAATTTGCCCCAAAATAAAAATAATTTATGGGATCAGATTTGGAGAAATGCAGCATTGCATCAGTGTCTCAGCAATGGATGCTCTGCAGTGAATGGGTGCCGTCAGAATGAGAGTCCAAACAGCTGATAAAAACATCACAATAATCCACAAGTAATCCACAGCACTCCAGTCCATGTTTTTAAGAAACAAATCCATCAAGATGTTTTGAAATTGAAATCATTGCTTCTGGCCAAAATGAAAGTCCATAATCCAAATTCCAAAATAATGCTTTCTTCTGTGAAAAATACCATCCTCTGTTGTCTCTCACATCAAAATCCAGCCACATATTTGTTTAGAGCTGTTTTGGCTTGTAATGATCTGTGCAGATTTCTCTCCTGATTCA